TATCCTGGCCGGTGTGGCTCAGTTGGAGCATCGTTACATATACCAAAAGGTTGGGGTTTTGATTCCTGATCAGGAAACATACCTAGAATGAGGGTTCTATCCCCAATAGGGAAGCATAGGGGAGGCAACCAATCAATGTTTCTTTCTCACATCCATGTACCTCTCTCTTCTCTCTCTCTTCTCCTTCCTCTCTCTAAACATATCCTCGGGTGAGGATTAAAAAAAAAAAAAAAAAAGGCAATGCCTGGGCTTCATCGTTGGTGATTCCCATTCATTAGCTCTGTCCTAAAGCCTAGGAAGCAACTTTTTAAAGGTGCTCAAGGGGTATCAGGTGTCAACCGATGAGCATTTGTGCCAATTCAATGCCAACAGGAATCCCCAATTGGGGTATGGTGAAGAAGAAAACCTTATCAGTGCAAACAGCTCAATTGTGATACAGCACAGCTATGGACCAGCTGGTTTAATTTATTGCTTTGGGCTTCAGATTCTGCATCAGTAAAATGAGGGAGATGCTTGGAGACTGTTTTCACTGCTTTAATTAATGTCTGGCTTTGTTTATCTCTGATACATTCTAACTTCTAATTAAGTTATAAGTTAAAGGCTAGAAGAAAATGATGAATTAAAATAAATAATGTTACTAATGTTAAATAGTGTAGGTTCTTACAAAGCCTATTCCTCCATACTTAAGCTCCCCAGGGATTGCACTTGAAGTCTTAACTCCTTTAGTGGACTGAAGTTCTGACCAGCCTTCCTAGCATTTCAGAAGATTTCCCAATGCTTCATATATTTCCCATGTATAAGGCTGCTTCTCTCTCAATCACCTCTTGATTCTTTTTGGTTTACTGGAAAGGATATAGTGCTGGGAGTCAGGACAGTGTTAACAATTCATTGCTGTATTATTCACATTAGTCAAGATATGGAAATAACCTAAGTGTCCCATCAAAGGATGAAAGGATTTAAAAAATATGAGACTCTATGATTTTCTAACCACATTGTTGTATATCTGAAACTAGTACAGAATAATATTGAATGTAAACTATAATTGAAAAATAAATTTTAAAAATGTGACCTACACAAACACACACAATGGAATATTATTTAGCCTTTAAAAAGAAGGAAATCCTGCCATTTGTGACAACATGGATGAAACTGAAGGACATTATGGTAAGTAAAATAAGTCAGACACAAAAAGACAAATACTGCATAATCTAAATAGTTGAACTCAAGGAAGCAGAGTAGAATGGTGATTGACAGTGGTAGGGGAGTAGAAAAAATGGGGAGATGTTGGTTAAAAGGTATAAACTTATATTTATACAAGGTGAATAGGTTCTGGAGATCTAATGTACAACATGGATCCTACAGTTAATAATACTGTATCATATACTTGAAATTTGCTAAGAAGGTAGATCTTTTTTTTAAAAAAAAAAGGTTTGTTTTTTTTAAAAATTGATTTCAGAGAGGAAGAGAGAGGGAGAGAGAAAGAAACATCAATGATGAGAGAGAATCATTGATTGGCTGTCTCCTGTGTGCCCCCTGCTGGTGATCAAGCCCACAACCCAGGCATGTGTCCTTGACTGGAATCGAACCTGGGGCCCTTCAGTCCGCAGGCTGATGCTCTATCCACTGAGCCAAACCAGCTGGGGCAAGAAGGTAGATCTTAAGTATTCTCACCACACATGCAACTATGTGGGTTGATGGATATTTTGACTAGCTTGATTGGGATGATCATTTCCCAGTGCATTCATATATCAAAACATCAAGTTATAGACCATAAATATATACAATTGCTATTTGTCAATCATACCCCAATAAAGCTGAAAAAGAAGACAAAAATGGGTAGATGTAAATAAATATTGACTACATAAAATATATTTTAAAAATTACTATTTACAAACTTGGGTGGTTTAATTTATTGCTCTGGGCTTCGGTTTCTGCATCAGCAAAATGAGGGAGATACTTGGAGACTATATAGATAGCCTGTTACTCAAACTTTACCCACTAGTTTTAGTATCCTTTAATAATAATTGCCAAAAGAGATTTTCTAATTTCAAATTTCATCTACATTTACTAGTTGCTATTCTACTGTAAGCAAGAGCTTAAAAATTTTTTTTCCCATTTATTTATTCATTCATTTATCCATTCATTTATATCAGTGTGCACTCAAAGATTCCTGTTTTATTCAATGGGACATAATCCATTACTATAATTATTTTTTTATACTTAGACTAGAGGCCCGGTGCACAGATTCATGCACCAGTGGGGTCCCTTGGCCTGGTCTGTGGGGATCAGGCCAAAACTGGCAGTCTGACATTCCTTGAAGAGTCCTGGAGTGCGAGAGGGCACTCTGCAAAGTTGCTGTTGCTCGGCAGCTTCTGCATTGAGCGTCTGCCCCCTGGTGGTCATTGCACATCATAGTTACTGTTTGATTGGCCAGCCAGTCACCAGTCAGCCAGTTGCTTAGACTTTTATATATATAGATTGCCTCAGAGTAGATTAGTAAAAGCCCTTTCCATCTGAGTCCTATGTCAGGTTATGTTTACATCATTCTTTGAACCCACCTAGTTTCTTTAGTGAAGAAAGGAACAAATCATCATTTAAAAAAAGTCTTCTTAAAACAATTCTATTGTTTGTATGGGTCCAGTGTTCAGGCTTTTAATAATCGATCTCTGTCTGTTATGATTCCATTCAGCCAATGGCATGATTCCATTCAGCCAATGGCATTAGTCCACTGGTCCTTTTTTTAACTTTTTGTTCTTGTTTATTTATTCATTTTTATTGAATTTATTGAGATAACATTGGTTAATAAAATTATACACGTTTCAGATATACAATTCTACAATGCATCATCTGTATACTATATTGTGGGTTTACCACCCCAAGTCAAGTCTCCTTCCATCACCATTTATCCCCTCTTTACCTTCTTCTACCTCCCCCCAGTCCACTGGTCTTAATTAATAATTGCTTCCTATTGAAGAATAATGTCATAAGACAGGAAAGTCTTCCTAAATATGATACATTAGACAGAAAGATTAAGGGCATGAATAAAAGTTAAAACACAAGGTTTTAAAGCTTCTGTATTAAAAATAATTACCTTAAACACAATTAAAGTTAAAAACCATCTAAGAAAAAACCACTTTCAGTATTTGACAGACAAAAAGATAATACTTTTAATATATATTGATTTAACCCTGTTAAATCAATAAGATATAAAGAGCAATAGAAAATGGGCAAATATATATATTGAGATAATTCATAAGAGAACAAACATGTCTCAGCCTCATGAGCAAAGCAGTACCAATTACATCAATTGAAATTATCTAAGAGAAAATTTGTGACCCATAACATTGGCAGAGATTCCATCTAATGCCATTTCATTTTTTCAAGGCACTCATTTTTATGGAATTGTAAATTAGAACAGCTTTACTATGGGACAATTGGATGATATAAATTAAAAGTTTTGATTAGTTTTGGTTTTATGGTATTAGGTAGGGGAAGTGTTTCCAAGTCAGGTATAATATCTATTCCCATAAAGCATTCAGATAAGGGAGACACAACCTCCTCATATAAGGCCTGTCATTCAAACCTTTACCTTAATCTTATTACCAGTAACAGGATTATTATTGTTATTATTATCGATAATCTTACACATTTCTATATTCACTCAGTTTTTTAATTGTAGCCCATTTTAGGGCTTTACCAACAGATGTTGGTACCACAATGCATGAGGCTCCTGTGTCAAGGAACCTCAGAAAGTTCTCTTCATTCCCTGACCATTTTACCCGCTCCTGAGCATTAGGTTTTAGGTTCCCAGCCACAGAACCCTGGCACTTTTGTCAGTCTTTATCTTGATTAATTTGACTGACTATTGGCTTAGAAGATTCCAGGTCAGGGTTTTCACTATATTCTTTATTTTTCCAGTTTTTAAAATTCCTGTAAACCAGGGAAACAGAGCAGGACTTGTTTGGGCATTTTAATGTTGGGGGGCCAGCAGGAGGTCCATTTGTTCTACCTAAACTTTGGTAGTACTGTATTTGGTAATACTGGTAGGACCTTCTTTAATCCCATCAATATTCGTTTTATTCATCATAAGTGGAGGAACATGTATAGTCTGATATTTTGCTGTCTTTCAATCATTTAAAAACTATATCTTTGCATACCGTGTGTGGATAATTGCCAAGCCCTGGTCTTCCCACACTCCTTATCACTTATATCAAGTGCTCCAACACAGTATGGTTATACCTGTCATTAAGCTGTCGGAACAATGTTTAAAAATCTATCTATTCTTTAAATTAACCCGAGTGCTTAATTTTCTAAAAGCAAGCACTCAAAGAAACCCAACTCCTCTCCCGCTCCCCACCCCCCATCCCACCTCACGGATGAATAATCGCTGGAGAGAGTTCTAGAAGAGACAATCCCTGATACTTGTATTGGTATTCAGTAGTTTCATTGGTAAAGGGCAGCATCCTGCAGTTTGAAAGCCATAAACGCGGCATATCCATTGTGATATTACAATGCCACTAAGCCATGCTTCCATTCTGTCAGCAGTGTTCATTTTTGATAGTTTTGCACTTTTATGCCACGGGTTCCTCAGGAGCAGCTGGCCACCAAAACACATTCTGTACCCTTTCCAGAGATGCCCAACACCTAGCGGCCTCAGGGAAGCCAGGGAAGGACCCGAGCGCAAAGCCGGGGGAAGAGAGAGGGGCTGGTCCCACCAGCCACAGTCGCCTTGCTGTGCCCTCGTCAACAGAGGGCGCCCGCGCCTCCCCAGCCCGCTTCCCAGCGGAGAGTGCCGCGTTCTGTGCACCGCGCGGGCCCCGCCTCCCAGACAGGCCCCGCCCCTCTCCCAGCCCGGCTTCTCGCTAGGCCCCGCCCCTGGGCCCGGCGTGGGCCACGCCCCCGCCCCGCCCCTTCGCCCTGTCCCGCTCCTCGCTAGGCCCCGCCCCCAGCCCGACATGGCCCCGCCCAGCGCCCAGCCCCGCCCCCTCGCCCAGCCCTGCTTTGCGGCTGTGCGGCCTCAGAGAGGGATCGGACCTGGCGCGCTCCCAGGGGTTCCCGGCTGTGGCGGCCCAAGCATGGAGGGCGAGAGTACCTCGGCGGTGCTTTCGGGCTTCGTGCTCGGCGCGCTGTCCTTCCAGCACCTCAACACGGACTCGGACTCGGTGAGCTGAGGGGCGGGGCGGGATCCGGCGTCGCCTCGGAAGAGGCCGAACGCCCTCCCCGCCGTTGCCCACGAGCTCCCGGGGCCGCAGCGCCGGCCTCAGCCCGCGGGCGCTGCCGCCTCCCGCCCCTGGGCAGCCCGAGGGCCTCCCGCCCGCGAGGTCTTTGCGGGATGAGCCCTCCCTTTGCGAAGCAGCGTTGTTCCGAGCCCAGACCGAGTGACCCGCACGCCCCCCCCCTTTCTGTCTCCCCCGCCCCCCTTCTTGGCCCGGCTGGCTGTGAGTAGAAAGCACACCGCGTTCCGCCGCCCAGGCTGGGGCTGGGGCTGGGCGGCTCCCTGTCCTCCGTTCTCACCACAGCCAGTTCGCTGAAATGATAGCCGGTTACGGGATAAAGAGGCGCTGCACCCAGGGGCCATTTGGGGGGAATCTAAGTGGGTGAAAAAGCCTAATTGGGTATCGGATCTCTGACGTTTGCATCAGTATTAAATTTATTAAGTTGTAAGGCCTCAGCTAGTTCCTTTTCTGATGCTTTCAGTTATGATTTAAATAGTTATGCTCAAATATTAGATATTGAAATGCTTATTTCATACTAATTGCCTAGGTTAAAACCCTCTGAAGTAATGAAGTAGTTTTTAAAATACAGTGTCTATTTTTAAAAACGTATTTTTATGAAATTAAACACTGTAAAACTTTAGCCCAGGAAGTAGTTCCCTAGAGTAAGTGCTTAATAACTTGCTAGTAGTTTAGAAAATACTGAACAAACTCTAGTTATTTCTTAAATAACCTTGATTAACACCTAGAAAAGACAAATAGGACTCTTTTGATATATGTAGCTGCGGAAATTATTTTGGAATGTCTTAGTGTAAATGTAAACAGAATGGGTCTGTAAGTCCTCTGTAGCATAATTAGCCCTTGGGAAGTGTCATAATGCTAGGCCCTTGTTTCTTAGATCTTTTTCCGTTAGTCTTTAAAGGGTGATTTTTTTTTTCCTTTTTAAAAATATGTTTATATTGATATTTAGAGAGAGGGGAAGGGAGAGGGAGATAGAAACTTGGATTGGCTGCCTCCTGCACGCTCCCTGCTGGGGAAGGAGCCTGAAACCTGGGCCTGTGCCCTGACGGAGAATCAAACCTGTGACCCCCTGGTGCAGAAGGTAGCTGATAGATGATGTTTCCCAACTAAACTTGGAATGCATCTAGTCTTTGTTTTCTGTGCCCCCAAGCTGGAAGCACATACTGTATACATTGTTAAATACTTGAGAGATTGGTTAGTTAAGTGACTGAATGGTCATACTATCAGTATATTCCATATATTTACCCTTTCTTATTTTTATCCATAGGAAGGTTTTCTCCTTGGGGAAGTGAAAGGTGAAGCCAAGAATAGCATTACTGATTCCCAAATGGATGATGTTGAAGTTATTTATACAATAGGTGAGTAACTTATTTCTTTGTCTCCTATTGTTGATGGTTTATGCTAAAAAGGGGTCAACATAAATTACTTTTTAAATTGATTTAAAAAACAAAAATTTTTTAAAAGCAGATTTTAAAAGACCACATTGCCTTTATTTCGCTTTAAAAAAACAACTTAAAAAATATATATATTTTAAATATGTTCTTATTGATTTGAGAGAGAGAAATGGAGAGTGATGGAGAGATAGAAACATTGATGAGAAAGAAACATCATCTATCAGCTACCTTCTGCACACCACTTACTGGGAAGCAAGCCCACAACCTGGCATGTGCCCTGACAGGAATCAAACCCATGATCCCTTGGTTCATTGGTCAACACTCAACCACTGAGCAACACCATTCAGGCTTGTCCTCATTTCTCAATTAAAATTATGGCCATGGCCTAGTCTAAAGCAGAAAAAGTTTGGGACGTAAGCATATAACATTACTGTGGGGAAACAATGATGGCAGCTGTTCTTTCAGGGGGAAAAGAGGAAAAAGAGAGCTTTAAAATATATAGGGGAGTTTTCTGATTAACATATACAGCTTTTTTTGAACATTTTTTCTTTAAATATGTTTCTGTTGATCTAGCCCACAACCCGGTCATGTGCACTGAGCAGGAATCAAACCAGCGACCTTTTGGTACATGGGACAACGCTCACTTAATCAACTAAGCCACACTGGCCAGGGCCTGAGCATATTTCTTTAAACAAAAATTGGTGGTGTACTTTATAAAAAATTTGCATCATGACACCATTGTATCATGACCATTTTCCCATGTTAAATTATCCTCTATCATTTTTTATAACTGCATTGTATTCTCTATGGCCTTCTATGGACTTTCAGCAGTCCTTAAAATAAGTAAATTATAATCAGAGTTATTTCCAATTTTTATTATTATAAGTTATACTACAGTGAACATCCTTGTATAGATATTGTCCTTGTTATAGATATTTTCCTGGCAATATGATTATAATGTCAAAGGGTATGAACCTTTTTTTTTCTTAAAGATATATTTTCATTGATCTCAGAGAGGGAGAGGAAGAGAGAGAGAGGAACATCATTGATGAGAGAGAATCACTGATCAGCTGCCTCCTGCACGCCCCCCACAAAGGATTGAGCCTGCAACCCAGGCATGTGCCCTAATTGGGAATCAGACTGTGACCTCTTGGTTCATAGGTCTGAGCTCAACCACTGAGCCACACCTGCCAGACAGGGTTATGAACATTTTTAAAGTTCTTGATCTGTACTCTCAGATTGCTTTTCAGAAAGATATAAGTTTACTAGAGGCCCGGTGCACAAAAATTTGTGCACTCGGCGGGGGTGGGGGGGGTGGGGGAGGGTCCCCTCAGCCTGGCCTGTGCCCTCTTGCTGTCTGGGACCCCTCGGGGGATGACCACCTGCTGGCTTAGGCCTACTCCTCGGGGGATTGGGCCTAAGCTGGCAATCAGACATCCCTCTCTCTAGCAGCCCGGCAGCCCTCGGGGGATGTCCACTTGCCAGCGGGGAGCAGACCTAAGCTGCAGTTGGACATCCTTAGCGCTGCTGAGGAGGCAGGAGAGGCTCCCACCACCACTGCTGTACTGGCAGCCATCAGCCTGGCTTGTGGCTGAGCAGAGCTCCCCCATGTGGGAGCGCACTGACCACCAGAGGGCAGCTCCTGCATTGAGCGTCTGCCCCCTGGTGGTCAGTGTGTGTCATAGTGACCAGTCATTCCCAGTCTTTCTGCTGTTAGGGTCAGTTTGCATATTACCCTTTTACTATATAGGATAGAGGCCTGGTGCACGGGTGGGGGCCGGCTGGTTTGCCCTGAAGGGTGTCCCGGATCAGGGAGGGGGTCCCACTGGGGTGCCTGGCCAGCCTGGGTGAGGGACTGATGGATTTTTGCAGCTGGTCACATCCCCTTCAGGGTGGGGGTCCCTACGGGGGTGCCTGGCCAGCCTGGATGAGGGGCTGATGGCTGTTTTTAGGCTGGCCACACCCCCTTTAGGGTGGGGGTCCCCACTGGGGTGCCTGGCCAGTCTGGGTGAGGGGCCGAAGGCCGTTTTCAGGCTGGCCGACGACTGAAGCTCCCAGCCTCTTCTTTTTTTCTTTTTTTTTTATTCTGGGATTTATTTACCTTCTATAATTGAAACTTTGTTGCCGTCACTGGAGCTGAGAGCGGGCTCCTGCTCGCTCCAGCTCTGAGGCCACGGCCTGCTGAAAGCAGGTATCTGGGGTTTGTTTAGCTTCAATAATTGAAACTTTGTTGCTTTCGGAGCTCAGAGCCGGGCCGCGGCAGGCGGGGAACCTTGGCTTCCTCCATCACTGGAGCAAGCAAGCCTCCTACTCGCTTCAGCTGCGTGGCTGCCAGCCTCCATCTTTGTTGGCGGTTAATTTGCATATCACGCTGATTAGCCAATGGGAGGTGTAGCGAAGGTACGGTCAATTACCATGTTTGTCTATTATTTAGGATATTCACATTATTCATGTCATTTTTTGTTTGCCACTTTAAAAAGTTAAAAATGGAAGTACATATATGTAAATTTACATGTGTGTATAAATATAGTGTATATGTGTAAAGTAAATATATAAAGTCAATTTAAACTCATTCTCATTAGTTTCCTCTGTGGCCACCACTATTGGTTTCATATGTACTAGTATATGTTTCATTTACACAAATGGGATCATCTATACATGAATAAATATCTCCAAGATGTTATTAGTACAGAAGAATGCCATTGTATATAGTTTGTCATTCTTACTAATGGCTTCAGAGTCCCACTATATGGACATACCATAACTTATTTAAACAGCTATGAATGACTTTCTATTTGTAATAAAATAGTAGACATTTTATTGTGTATATATCTTTTTTGCCTTTGAATATATCTGAAAGTCAGATTCCTAGAGGTAGACATATTGCCTTTTGGAAAAGTCATGCCATCCTAGACTCCTCAATATGTAAAAGTACCTGGGTCCCCATAATCTTGCCACCACTGGTTATTATCAGGTCTTTTAATTTTTGCCAACTTGATAAGTAAAAAAATCATTTTAATTTGCATTTCTTAATTACAAGTGAGATTGAGAGTTTATGTATTTGACCTTTTTTGGGGGGGGGGGGGCTTTTTCTTTAAATCGGTATGCTGCCCAAAGTATCAAACACACTTTGAGGAGTTTAAATAAGCAACCATTTACTGAGTCCTTGTGCCAGGGATAGTGCTCAGCTTTAAGGTGTCAGCCAAGTGCTATAGAAACGCTTATTTGCTCAAATTATTTTAAAATGTTAGATTACTTTAAGACACATAATAACAGATAAAATCCAAGATATATAAATTCCTATATTGCTTTGGTTAATGAAATTTTCATTTTATACTCTCTGTTATCTGCACCAGAGAATGTTTAGCTGTTATCAGTTACAAAGACTTATCTGTTCAGTGGTTTTTCAGACAGAGATTTATCTGAGGGTAGCATACATTTGCTAGAAGAAAAATGTCTAAGGAAGATGATCACTTTCCCTATTTAGATTTATTTCTATTGACAAGAAATAAAACTAGCCTCTTAAAAGAGGTTTTGCCCTGGCCCGGTATGGCTCAGTTGGTTAGATCATCGTCCCATGCCCTGTAAAGAAAAAGATGTTTGGGTTTTTTTCTTGATAGTTTGTAGTTAACATTAACAAATCCTTTGTGAGACAACTACTTGTAATAACAAAAGATTATCCCATTAACAGCTGTTTTTATCAATTGAGTAAAATTAGAGCATAACCCGTTTTAGAACTCAAAGGAAAAATTGCAACTTTGAATTTATCTTTTGTGTTGTTGTTAGTAACATACATAGAAGGAATATGCCACTCTAGTTAGGAGTGAAGCTCTTTGAATGTTGGCCCTACCACTGGCTTGGGAGAGTCACTTAATCTCTCTGCCTGTTCCTTCATCTTTAAAATGGAAGGAATAACATCTGTCTCATAGGTTTGTTCTGAGGTTTAAATGAGATAATGGTAAAGTACTTCCTGGGACGAAGTATTTGACATATGTTATTCAAATAACAATTAATGTAATTGTAACTAAAAATTCTTTTTTCCAGACATTCAGAAATATATTCCATGTTATCAGCTTTTTAGGTGAGTAAGCAAGAGCAAGTAAATGATCCACTGTGAAAATTACTCTGCAAGTGAAGTAATTTTTAAAACTAACAGAGTATCTCTGTTATATATGGTGCTGCTGTTTAAAATGAAAAGACTTTTTTTTAATACATGAAAATTTACTTGTTCATTTCAACCCTAATATTTCATTCTTTGTATTTATATGCTTGTGTTAGCTGGTATCTACTGCCTCTCCCAGGTACCAGTTTACTTTGAGGATTGCTTTTCCTTCTCACACCCACTCATCTCATTGCATTATTATAAACTCAGTGACACAATTTCATACATCAACTGCAGCCTTTTTTCCTACCCTTTTATTCTAGTTTATCATAGGTTTCTTCACTTACTGTATTTTTTTAATGTTATATTTTGTCAATTAACCAGTTAGGTTCTTTACCCTGCTTCCTTTTGCTATTCTAGGGTGAAAACTTGTGCTCTTAGTCCTATAGATAGAAGTAGTATTGTTAGCTCTTAATATAAGCTGTGGTATTTTTAAATACTTTTTATTGAAGTATTGTTACATACATTTGGAAAAGTACACAAATGAATGTTCATAAAGCAAACAGTTATAACTATAACATGGTATAGTTTTAATTAAATAGCTTTATGATTTATATAAACTGTATATGAATAATCAACATTATTATCTTACAGTCACACTTAGTAATTGTGTAAGAGTTGCAATGGAGCACATGGTTAAGGTGATAAAAATTTATGGTAGGGGATGATAGAAATAAAGGCTTATTATAGACTTAAATTGCTGCACCAATAAGAGGTACAGCTCATATAGTGCCTTACATACAATGAACATACAAACATATTTGTTGAATGACTAAGGGATTCTTGGTGGAGACTCATGAAAAGTATTTCTCTGGACCTGCCTTTGGAAGATGGAACACTTTATTTTGTCTATTTTTCCATTAAAAACATTTTTTTTTTATAATCCTCACCCGAGGATATTTTCCCACTGATTTTTAGAGAGTGTGAAGAGAGAGGGAAAGACAGAGAGAAACATCAATGTGAGAGAAACACATTGATTGGTTGCCTCCTGCACAGGCACCAGGGCCCAAGCTGGGGAGGAGCCTGCAACCGAGGTACCTGCTCCTGACTGGAATTGAACCTGGGACCCTTCAGTCTGCAGGCCAATGCTCTATCCACTGAGCCAAACCAGCTAGGGCTCCATTAAAAACTTTTAATGTAAGCATTTGTAATTTAAAAAGAAAAAACATTGTCCATTAGGATATACCTTCAGTTCTATGTAACTTAATTTTTAGTGTACAGATTAGAATTACCATTAAACTTATTACAGTGACTTATTTATAAAGGATTTTGCATTACAGATAGTGCACCATCATAGAAAAGAATATGTTTTATCTCAATTAATGTTAACAGAAGGAAAATATTACATGCATTCCTTGTTGGAAGAGAAAGAAGACTGGAAGTAAACGCTTTAGAGTTTAAAATCTTTTAGAATTATCTTTTAATTCTCCCTACATCTTTGACTTTCCAGCTACAGAACAACGAACACTAAACTAAAGCAGTACCTATTTTGTGCTCCCCTGCACTCCCCATTAAAAACAAAACAAAACAAAACAAAACAACCAACTCCTGAAACACTTCTCTTAATTTAATGCAAATACTGCCTTTGGAATTAACAATGAATAAATTGTCTTTTCATTGTGCTCCAATACTCATTTCACATCTCTTTTGTATGTATCAATATTTTCCTTTAAGTTTTAATAAGTAAATTATGAATTAATTTTGAACTGGCTGCGTGAATTCACAAATACCTGTATTTAATGAATAGTGTTTTATTTCAAGAAAATGTGATGCCCAAAGTTATCTCTTGAGGTTTCTCTACCCCTTTTCCTTTTTCATTGCTTATGGACCTCATATTTCTACCACTTTAAATCTAATACTTTGAGAACGTTCTCTACTATTTATTTTAGAACTTCATCTGACAAGCAGGTAGGTATATATGGATTTGGGTTGGGTAGTTAGGTTAGGAGTAACTAAAATTAAAGGTGCTAATAAAATCATATTTTTAGCTTATTTGAAATGCCTTTAATTTTGGCTTTTACAGTTTCTACAATTCTTCTGGTGAGTTAAATGAGCAAGCACTGAAGAAAATACTATCAAGTATCAAAAAGGTATTCCCTGACTTACCTTGTCTTTTATATCATAAGTATTATTTTCAGTTCCTAAAAGCATGTAACACTTTGACAGAACTTTTAAGCACCATGTGTCATCACGGTGTCCTATAAAGCAGGTGAGGTAAGGCTTGTTCTTTCCAGAAATTTAAAGGGGCTGCTCTGAAAGCAAAACTAGTCATTAAAAGAATTAATCTTGTTTTCATTCTTCCCTTGACTAGTCTAATGAACATTGATCTCTTCCTCTTCTACTTTCCCACCGTACCCCTTCCCAGTACCATTTATTCTAGGACTTAATCCATTACTGTTTTTACATAGCTGCAGTTACTTGTTTTTATAGTGCAGGGATGATTTCCTATACAGCACCTAATTTGATTCCTCCACAGCATACCTGGTGTTCAGTTAAAATTTGTTGAATGATCAAAATAGATAGTTTTTCCCAAATACAAAATTTTTTCTGGGTACTGTTTTCCTCTTAAAACTTTTTGATCTCTGAGTTGAAAATAAAAGTAAATTCAATAAAAGAAGTTTCTTTCAAAAAATCCTTTGTTGGAAATTATGTTTTTTAAACGTACCTGTAAAAATGTTTTAGTTGTAAAGAGACGTAACTTTACCTGGCCAGTATAGCTCAGTTGTTGAGCGTCAACCTATGAACCAGGAGGTCATGGTTCAATTCCTGATAGGGGAACAAGCCCGGGTTTCGGGCTCAATTCCCAGTAGGGTGTGTACAGGAGGCAGCCATTTAATGATTCTCTCTCATCATTGATGTTTCTATCTCTCCCTCTCCCTTCTCTGAAATCAATAAAAATATATTTTTTTAAAAAGTAATTTTAACTTCCTCAATTTAAATGAGCAAATATAAAACTTAGTTGCTGAAATGGTCACAGACAGATCTCTAAGCGAAGTGATTGTTTTTCTCTTTTTTTACAATTACTAAGTTTCAGCAAATGAGATTAATTTGGTAGTTTAAAAAAAAAGGTTTCGTAACACTTAACAACACATTTTTTTAGCATGTTCACAACCCTTTCACATGATCTTATTCAATCTTGAAACCAATTCTCTGGGGTAGGTGATAAATCATTACCATATAAATTTCAGTTTTAAAAGCTTCTAGGTTCAACTTACTTATTTAACAAACCAAGTATCCATATAGGAATTCAACTTGTTTTCATTGACATTTTCTTAGTTTAAATTTTGACTAAAGATTAAGATTTTTTTAAATTTTATTTTTCCCTCCTGAACAGGCATTTAATAGTCTTATTTCATTTGGAAGCAGTAATTGGAGAATAAGTTACAGGGACAGACAAAAAACAAAAACAAAACTCACACAACTTAAAGTGCTTCAGGCTGCAAACATAATCATGAGGGGCAGGAAGAGGCCACCTAGCTATCTCCCCTCACCTCTGAGACAGGAGGGTCATTGTCTGGGTCCCTTTAGCATCACCAATCACCACCCTCTAATCTCAGCCCTAGGGTGAGTAGGTGGGGGATAATGTCAGAGGTAGGAAAGACAACTTAATAGGAATGAGAAACCACTTTGTAAACTTAAAACCAGGGAACAAGACAGGGAAACAAGGGAGCTCTTAGAACCCTTGCCCTGACCAAGGGGTGGAACCAGCACCCCTTCTCCCCCCTCCCCCCCACCAGGAAGTCAGGGAAATACTGTTGGTTTAGTGCTGCAGCCATACCTGCCCATTTCACCTCATCAGCAGACACAGACAGGCTATGGCCTCCTCACCTACAATGGGAGGCATCCCTAGGGGGAGACAGCCTGGAACAAGGACCCCCTCCAGAGACATTCGATTTCTGGGAGTGTAAGAGGGCCTGCAAGGTGCTACCTTATGGGCTCCACCACCAGGACTTTGCACTTGCAGTTGCAATCTTGTGCAGAGAGCACAGCCTTTTCTGGGGGCAGGTAGAGGGAGCAGCCAACTAGGGAGGCCACAGCAGGTGTGATGGCCCTGCGCTCCATCACACTGCTGGACCTGGAGGAAGGCAGAGGATGTGGGCTCTAGTTAGACCTCAGGACCGCTTCCTGCTCCCGCTCCAATTCCGGCCTCTACTGAGTCCAGTGGCTCCCCTCCCTTGGTTCCATACCTCACGAGGTGGCTGCGGGAAGGCTGTTGGTGGGAGAAGGACTGAGAGGGGCCCAGGCTAGCCTGGTGCCTCTACACCAAGTCCCGGATAGCTGGACTGCTGGGACTGCTCTTTCCAGAGAGGGGCTGGGCCTCGGGTGGAGCGTGGGACACACTAGCAGTGAATTGTAGCTTCAATTTCATGTGCTGGCTCAGCTGGGGTGGAAAGACACAGATCAGCATTCCCACTTGGCTTCCAGGCCCCAGACCTCCTTTCAAATCACCTTTCCCCTTGACAGACCAATATTGGACCTAAATTCCACCTTCCCTCGGCCTGCCTTTAGTGCCATCCATTGTATTTCATCTCCAGCAGTTAGCGGCCCTGATGCCTCCTATCCCAACATTCTGCATCACCCACCACACCGTCCACCCCCTCTCCAGCACCTCCCCAGCCCACCTCAAAGAGCCCTGTCCTTAGAGCCTGGAAGGCTACACTGAAGGTGAGTGAGTGCACTGCCCTTCCAGGAAAAGCCAGGGTTGAGAGGCGTGTGGCAGACAATGGAGTCTAGGCAGCCTGCATGGCCCGAAGGTCCTCACACAGCTGGTTTCCTGGGGGGCAGAAACAGCGACCAGTAAACACATCTGTATAGTGTTCCTCAGCAAGGGTCTTCCAGGAGCACAGTCTTGATTGATCCTCAAAGTCACCCAGCCTGTGCGTGCTCTGGGGTCCACACAAGCCTCACAGCAAGGAAGTCTTGGAGATTGTTGAGCAGCATGTAGGTGACTGAAATGCTCATAGGTCCGAACTGGGGACTCACAAGAAGCAGTCATCACAAAGCATGGGCGTCCAGACAAACGCTGGGCAGGTGGTAGTGGGTGTAGATGCTCTGGGTGAAGGGCAGCTTTGGGGTGGACCACTGACCCACAGCAATCAAGGGGACTTCTAGGCCCTTGGCCTTAGGTGCCCCTGGGGCCAGTCTAACAGTGAGTGGGAAGATGACCTCATCTGTGGACACAACTGGTTCCTCCACAGGCAGCGTGGTCACTCCCCCTGAGGTGGCAGGGCCCAGGTGATGGGTGAGAAGCGGGCTGCAGCCTCAAACAACCCCCCACTGCCTGGATTCCCCGCTCCCTGGTGGTTCAGGAGGCTGATTGCCTGGGCTGCCAGGGCGGTGACCAGTTCTGCCAGGGCCACCCCCAGCGCTAGAACCCCCTCCTGTCCACCCTCCCCCCACCCCCCGCAGCAAAGCACTAGCAGGAAGCAGACAGTCTCCCCCAAATAGAGATGGTTGAGCCCGGAGCAGTGCCTGGTACCGGCCTGGGTCACCCACCAGTGGCATGGCCAAGCTAAAGATTAAGATTTTAAAAGAGCAAAATGTCATAAAAGAAGTTAATCTTTTTTCCCCAATCTATATTGAATAAAATTTAGTCCTGAAACTGAATAAAAAGTAATTTAACTGCAAGACAGTTTGCATACTTTACAAAGTGTAAAAGTGTATATTTAAGTGTATGTTTTGTTTACATATGCCCCAAATCTTGCTAAATATTAAGAAAGCCATTTTTAAGGCTGTCAATTTTATTGCTTAATTATGATAAGACACATAATAATTGTAATTATTAAGTGTTTTGTTTTTTTCTGTATTTCCTTTCAGGATGTAGTGGGTTGGTACAAATTCCGACGCCATTCAGACCAGATCATGACATTTAGAGAAAGACTACTTCACAAAAATTTACAGCAGCATCTTTCAAGCCGGGAACTTGTTTTTCTGCTATTAACACCAAGTATAATAACAGAAAGCTGTTCTACTCATCGGCTGGAGCATGCCTTATATAAACCACAGAAAGGGTAAATGTTGGCCAGTCATTGGCTATCTTCAGCTAATTGAAAAATACACTCAATATTTTTATAGCACTTTTAGTAGCTTACCAAGTATTTTCATACATTGTTACATTAGATTGTCATAATATTGCTCTGAAGTGTGTCTTACCATCTGTTCTTAATAGATGGGAAAATGAATGTCAGATAAAGAAATTAGAAGCCCAGTATGGAATGTTGACTTACGTTTCTGGCACTGAGGGTTTGCTATTATTTAACATAAGGTGGAAAAATGTGTGCTTTAGATACATTTTTTAAAATATATTTTATTGATTTTTTACAGAGAGGAAGGGAGAGAGATAGAGAGTTAGAAACATTGATAAGAGAGAAACATCAATCAGCTGCCTCCTGCACACTCCCTACTGGGTATGTGCCCGCAACCAAGGTACATGCCCTTGACTGGAATCGAACTTCGGACCCTTGAGTCCGCAGGCCGACGCTCTATCCACTGAGCCAAACTGGTTAGGACTGTGTGCTTTAGATATTGGTTGCTAAAGGATATAACGTAGAATTTAAACCTAGATACTTGAGCAGCTTTTCTACAACCTCTACAAGGAAGCAAGGTAGTTCTTGATGATCTACCAAAATGGTTTAACAGACTCCCCAAAGGTTATATAAACATTTTCATGGAATATGAGAATTTTAAAAGAGTACCAACTAAGGTTAATTTTATTATTCATGGAAGATAGGCTAAATCTCAACAATACAGCCTTATATTTATACTAGAGGCCCGGTGCACAAAATTTGTGCACTCAGGGGGAGTCCCTCAACCTGGCCTGTGCCCTCTCACAGTCCAGGAGCCCTTGGGGGATGTCCAACTGATGGCTTAAGCCGGCAGTCAGACATCCTTAGTGCTGCCGCAGAGGCAGGACAGGCTCCCGCCACCGCCGCTGCACTCACCAGCCGTGAGCCTGGCTTCTGACTGAGCTGCGCTCACCCTGTGGGAGCACAATGACCACCGGGGGCAGTTCCTGCATTGAGCATCTGCCTCCTGGTGGTCAGTGCATGTCATAGCGACTGGTCATTCCTCCATTCAGTATTTGCATATTAGCCTTTTATTATATTGGATGTGCTAATCAGTTACAATAGCCATAAAAGTATTTTTATGTAATTATTTTATACTATGTACATGCCACTTTTTTTAAAATAGTCATCTAAGGATATTTTTGCATTGATTTTTATTATTTAAAAAAATTTTTTTTTAATATATTTTTGATTTCACAAAGGGAGAGGGAAAGAGAAATAGAAACATTGATGATGAGAGAGAATCATTGATCGGCTGCCTCCTGCAAGTCCCCTATTGGGGATCGAGCCCGCAACCTGGGCATATGCCCTTGACCGGAATCGAACCCGGGACCCTTCAGTCCACAGTCCACTCTATTCACTGAAACAAACCAGTTAGGGCTTTCCATTGATTTTTAGAGAGTCTGAAAGGGAGGGGGAGAGACAGAGAGAAACATCGATTGGTTACCTCCAGCACACACTCCAACTAGAACCAGGGATCCAGTCTGCAACAGAGGTATGTGCCCTTGACTGGAATCAAACCTGAGATACTTCAGTCCATGAGCCAATGCTCTAACCACTGAGCTAAACTGACTAGGGCACTTAACAACTTTTAAAAGCCGTTTTCCTCAAGTCAGTAAATTCTATCTTGGATAAGTAATAATAGGATTTTTTTATTTTTTAATCTTGTAGGGGAAAGGTAGTCTATACTAATAAGTAGATGCTAATCTTTGCCTTTATTCTAGGTTTATATTTTAAAATTTTATTTCCTCAGACTTTTTCATAGGATACCTTTAGTGGTGGCCAACCTGGGCATGTCTGAACAACTAGGTTATAAAACTGTATCAGGTTCCTGTACATCCACTGGTTTTAGCCGAGCAGTAAAAACACACAGGTGAGATTCCTCAATTGCTTCCCCACTAAACTTACTCCTATTCATTTACTGAAATTAATTTTTAAATTATACAACTGAATAAAAATGAAAATCGACTAATACCCATATCACTCAAATAAATTAGACATTACTTTTCCCATATTTCCTTCTAGCACTTGTCCATTTATAAAATACAGAGGGAAGTTGTTGCATATTTTAACGTATTTTCTAAGAATAAGTAGCTAGCCTTAAAATAATAAATTTTCTAAGGCATCAGTTCAGATTAAAGGCATGAAATTAGACTGCATAATAAATACAAAAAATGAGGCTTTAGCCAAGATTCACACATACTACCAGCTGCTAAGTTACAACTTTTTTGTGATCATTAAAGAAATGACTGTCAGAAATAGCAACACTGGTATTACAGGATACTTCCTAGTGAATAAACTTTCAGAAAAGGCACTAGATTTTATTTATTTTTGTGTTCCCACAGTGCTTACCAGTGTCTTACATTTCATTGATTCTAAGATGTACAGTTTTAAATTTACCTCAAATTGGGATGTTTTACAAACCATACCTTAGCATTTTTTTCTTCTTGGTATGTAAAATAATGTTGCCTCTTTCAATCAATGAAGCTTTAAGATCAGTAAAATATGACTGTGATTCTTCCATAGCTCAACTACCAATAAGTTTTTCATCATATCATTAAATGAGTTCTGTACACTTGCCTGATGAAATGATGTTTTACAGCCCTGAGTTTTTTAAAGAAGATGGATCTTTAAAGGAAGTACACAAGATAAATGAAATGTATGCTTCTTTACAAGAGGAATTAAAGGTAACATAACTTGTCCAACACTTAGAGACCACTTTAGAGTTGATATCAAATTGATCATTGAGAATTTTTAGGGATAAATTGACATTAGATTAGATTTAATTTTAGTTTCATTTAGCTTCAGTAACAAAGACCTTAATCTCAGTAGCCTATACATACAAAAGTTTAGCCTCGCATTATGTCTTGGCTGCAACTCTGTTCCTGTTCTAAGTACTAGTATCTTCATTCTAGGATCCAGACTGAAGGTGCAGCCCTTACATGGGACATGCTCTTCCCATGACAAAGGAAGAGCAAGAAAGCTAGTGGAAGTTCACAGTTCTTAAAACTGCTCAGAGATGGCTTGTCTCTTCCACTTATATTTCATTGGTCAGAGGACATCGCATGACAATAGGTAGGGACATATAATCCTTTTATAGGATAAAAACAACAGCAAATATTTGGGAACAAGACAGTCTAGCACTGTATTTAGTTCTGTCTTTGTCAGTTCAGTCCTTTGAGAAGTAAACATCAAGGTAGGATTAGACAGATTTATTAGGCTGAGAAGGGGAGGGTGCTCCTGAAAAAGAAGACAGAAAGCAAATTGGGTAGAAAGAGCTTTATTTAGACTGCAGGACAAGAAAAGTTTCAGCCAGGCAAAGCTGTCCTATAGGAATGGACTTGTAATAATACCCACATGCTCAGTCACTAAGAGCAGCCTAGAGAAAGCCTGGCCTAAGCACAGACACAGTAGTGGGTCCAAAAGCATGGCAGCTGGGCTGCTAGTCAACTATGCCTCCTCCAGATGGAGATTACAGTAGTATACTTCCATGGTCACCATACTCATCAATATAGCACACTAAGAGAAATGACGTTAATACATTTTACACACTACTAATATGAATGATAGTACAGGAATTTTAGAAAAGAGAAACATTCAGAATTCCACCACTGCAATATAACTATTTTCACTTTGCCATATTCTGCAGTTTTTCCCTAATGTATACATGCTTTTATATAGCTGATAGTGATAAAGGCACATCAATGTGTATCATGATTTTTATTTATTTGATATATTAAACATTTTTCATCTGTAATAGTGTCAACAGTTAAAAATAAAAAAATAGTTTCTTTTACAGGAATTATGAAGGTCCTGTATGAAAATTCTTCCATAACAGTAAAATTCAGTCACTTTTCTTTAATATTAAATGTTTACCTCTCAAAACAGTTCAGTATTTTTTGTTTCAAAGCGTGTTATTTTTATTTCAGTGCATTATCAAAGAAATAACTGGTATGATAAAGCTAGGGAAGTTAATACATCTGTAAAACATTTACTACCTATAAAGTACCATACAAGTGCTTATTGTTGAGTTCCTCCAAAAAATAGCAAAATTAAAGTTTTTATAAAAGCAAATAATACTTAATATTATGTACCATGAAGGATTTTATGAACCCAGACTGGGAACTTTATCCATATCCTTGCATTATTTTATTTTGCAGAGTATATGCAAACAAGTAGAAGAGAGTGAAGAAGCAGTAGAGAAACTACTAAAGGATGTAAACAGATTAAAACAAGAAATTAAAAAAAGAAAACAAGCACAGATTCAAGCAGCACGTAAGTAAAAAGTTCGCACACCACCTCTTTCTATACCTAAAAAAAGTTCTAAACAAAAAAAAAAAAAAAAAATTCTGATTTGAATTATGGATGAGCCAGCTGCACGGATGAATTTGCCCATCTTAAGATTAAAAATAATTGTTTTATTAATACTCTTAAATCCCACTGAGCAAAGAACATGGTACTATTATAGATATATTCTATTGTTGACATTAAAGAATTTAATTATAATATTCTCTTAGAATATTATGGCATGAGTAGGAGTTTGGGATTATGCAAGTCATTTTTCTCAGTTTAGACAATTTGATAAAATTGTTAGTATTTCTGACTCAACTTTACTAACAGATAACTATAAATGCTTTGTGGAACAACTATTGTATGTTGAACTGTTACTTTATTTTGTTTTAGGAGAGAAGAATGTCCAAAAAGACCCCCAAGAGAACATTATTCTTTGTCAAGCTTTACGGACCTTTTTTCCAGATTGTGAATTTCTTCACTCATGTGTTATCTCCTTGAAAAATCGGCATATCTCTAAAAGTAGCTGTAATACCAATCACCAACTCAATGTGGTGGACAACCTGACCTTAATGGTAGAATACACTGACATTCCTGAAGCTAGTCCAGCTAGTATTGCACGGCAAGAGATGAAGCGTAAAGCTTTAGATACAGATGACAGACGGCAATTCAAGAAGTCACGGCTGTTGGAGATACAAAGTCAACCATCTAAAACAGATACTGATAGTAGTAACCAAGAAAAATCATCCACAAGCAGCCCAGAAACAGATGAGGAGATTGAGAAAATGAAGGATTCTGGTGACTATCCAAGGTCTCCTACATTTTGATCCTTTTAAGGCCAAAAGATTTTTGATCAGCTGTGTTTGGCTATTTGCAGTAATACATTAAAAAGAAAATCCTAACCACACCTAATTTGACAACTATTTTTTAAAGCTATTTCTATTGGACTTTCAAAGCATTTACTTAGTTTTTATTGCAAGAGTAACTTTCTTTTTAATGCTCATTTTTCATCAATACAATAACAAATCAACTTACAGGTATGAAAACAAAATAGCTGACTCTTGGCAATGCAGAACTCAACAGGTAGGAGAGTCATGGGCTTCAGTAAGATTTTTAGGAAGAATGTTTAGTTTAACCCAATTTAATGAATTGGTTAAGTGTAGGTTGGCTAAGAGAGCTTTGCTATTTTTTTTTTGTATTTGTCTGTTTCATAATTGTGAGAATTTTCCATGAAGTTATACACATCACATGAAGCCTTCATGTTTCACTCACTATATGAAATGCTGAGCACGCACTTTGGCCATTGCTTTTCCATGTTATTTCCTAATAGAGCAAATTCATAGCCAGCATAAAAAACTATCATCTTTTATCTATGTGTTAACATGCACTAGTTACCATGGGGTGCTTAGGAAGCCCACATAATACCAGAAATGATTTTGCAAATAATGAGTTTCTTCTGGGATTGTTTTACTGGTTACATAAGAAGCCTGTGGTGGTGTGGAGGGCAGAAGAGGGAAACAGGCTGTCAGACTGAACCCTATTTAAAAATAATCACAAACATCAGAGCATATAGAACATAGATAATGTCTAAATGTAACCAATAAATGAACAAAACTGGGTGCACAGGCAAAACTAGGAACAGCAGAGGCAACAAGCAGCCAACATATATGCAAATATCTTCTCTAGATAACAGCTTGAGATTTTTAAAAGATCCTACATATTTATTCAGACTAAAGTTTAAACGTGCCTCAATGGAAAGTTCAATTTGCTAAAATGATATAGAGATACAAAAGTATTTAGCTTATACTGTTGCATAACACTACTGAACTGCTGATCAGAGAAGCTTGCTCAGGTCATTAATTATTACACAGCTGAACTTCCACAATTGAGTTTGATGACCCAACTTTCAGCGTAGTAAAAGGAAGAAAATATAAGAAAATTTCCCCAATTTCTCTCAACTTTTAGCAATAAGACGACACAATATATCGCCTATGGATCAGTTTATTTAAAGTACACTACCAGTTTCAGGATAGACTAGCCCAGGAATAAATGTGAGGTTCTGTAACAGCACCACTATCCATCCAATGTAACATATCTACAAAGAGAATATCCACTGTCCTAGCCCAGTATACCTGTATTTGCTAGTTAGGAAACCTTCCTGAGCAATTTCAGGTCCACACCATCATGAGGGATTTGTACATTATACAAGCATTCCACTTTCCTGTCCCATATCCCTAACATGCCACCTACAAGACATAATCTGGACCTAAAGTAAAATCCCAATACAAGTCATCTCTTCCATATTTAATATCCCATTTTCAGCAGTCTTTATTGTATAAGCCAGTGGTTGGCAAGCTGCGGCTCGAAAGCCACATGCGGCTCTTTGGCCCCTTCAGTGTGGCTCTTCCACAAAATCCCACATGCGGGCGCGCACGTACAGTACAATTGAAACTTCGTGGCCCATGCGCAGAAGTCGGTGTTTTGTGGAAGAGCCACACTCAAGGGGCCAAAGAGCCGCATGTGGCTCGCGAGCCACAGATTGCCAACCACTGGTATAAGCTATTTGTGGACCAGATGTAAATGACAGTGCTACAGTACCAATTTTTTTTATCCATGTGTATGGAAATGTAATGAGTGTTAACACTTCAAATAATCTGGTTTTATTTAGTGAACACTCACTGGTACGGATAAGTAACGCCTCACTTCACTCCTGAAACGTTTTTTCTTCATAAAATTTCATATTAAGAATTACGACGATTTAGTTTGATAAGATTTACTTTTGCCTACTAATTTTTGAAAGGTTATTAAATCTTATAGTTTGAGTCAACAACCATTTATTTTAAAATAAGTTTATTGATAACTTTACATAATTTACTCCCGATATCTGATGTTACAAATTTTAGGGTCTTTGAGATATGCAGGATCCTTGTATGTAACTGGCATAAATCCTGTAAAGAGACAATTAAGTTCTTCACAAAAGATAACAACCAAAATTGATAAGCACAAATCATTTTTTCAGATTCTCTTACCCATTATTTGTGCTCTCTTAATAGCTTTTGTGATTTCTCTTTGTTTCTTCCCACAAAGACCTATAAAAAAAAAAATGCTTTCTTAGTCATAAAACATACCAATATTCAAAATGCATAACAATTGTCTAAGTCAAGGAAGGATCGGAAAACCCATAAAGAGCCAGAAAGTAACTATCTTAAACTTTGTGGGCTGTACAGTCTCTGTCGTAACTTCTCAACTCTACTCTTAGTACACAAAGCAGCCAGCCACAGACACTACATAAACTAAGCTATTTACAAAAATAAGTGGCAGATCCAATTTGGCCTATGAGAAATAGGCCTCTGTTTAAATAATAGTCTAGGAGCGATTATAGTATACTCCAAAATACCAACACAATTTTTTAAACCCAAGTTTTCTACATGTCAGGTTATAGCTACCTCTGAGTATGAGAAGACATGTAAAATAGTACCTTTTTTGGAATAGGAAGCTTTCTTAAATACTAAGCTTTCTAACTGATTTATATACTATTTGAAAATAAAAATTTGCCAGTTTTCTTACATAACAAAAGTAGATTTATAAGTTGCTATAAGAGAAAACAAAATACCTGTTATGTGCCTTCCATGAATGCATCCAGTAAATGGAGAAATAAACTGGGACAAAAGCTGTTTGAGTTTTATTTGGAGAGGAAGAAAAAATTTATATCAATACATGTATTATTCATTCTTGACTGTAAATTTCAAAAAGCATACCTCATGTCACCTTCAAGTCATATAAAGGTTTATTAATAAATTTCAGACAAACTTTATAAAATATGAAAAATACTACTATGCTCATCCTATTGACAGATCATCTTTTTAAGTAACTAATGCAATTATTAAAGTTAACATCTCTTACCCAGTCTGTTCAAAAAGTCTGTACAACAGATTAATGACCATATTGTTTCAGTGCTAAAGCTGTTTTCTTTTTTAAAAATGTTTTTATTAATTTTAGAGAAAGGAAGAGAGAAACATCAGTGTGAGAGAGAAACACCAATGGGCTGGCTCCTGCATTCCTCCTACTGGGGATCGAGCCAACAACCTGGGCATGTGCCCTAGCTGGGAATTGAACCAGTGGCCTTTTGGTGCATGGAACAACACTCAACCAACTGAACTACACCGGCCAGGGCTAAAGCTGTTTTCTTGTTTGTACAGATTCTTTTCTAAAATACTCCTGCTTACAATGAAATACTAAACATTTCACCTATCATGATAGGCTGTCACATAATACCAGACTACAGTGAGGTCTTTAAGAGATATAGGTACATCGGGCCATTTGCTATAATTATGTTTCATAAATTTAAATTCTTTAGCACCTTCCAGGTGCCAGGCAGTGTTCTTGGCATAATGCTCCCAATATGTTGCATTTATTTTTATATTGTTATGACTGTTATTTTTTTTATAATTCTTTATTGTTGAAAGTATTACATATGTCCCCTTTCCTAATACCTGCATTTAAAAATTTCTTGGTTTTTCTCCCTATAAGGCAGCTATCACTTTATACTATTGTCAGTATACTTCAACATTCTCTACCCCAGATTTGCCACTTAACTTGCTGAGGGCTGTAAAACAGATAAAGTTGTATTTGAAGCAGTGATATTGTTGGTGAGGTAGAGAGATCAACTTCACCAGAGGAGCTTTTTCCAAACTACTCACCTCCATCAACTGAGAATTACTGCCATTGTGAGCTATTATTAGAATAAAATAGAGATGCTTTATACATAGAAATATAACCAGATTTGGAATTATGATGTTGCTAAAACAGTTGCCCCTCCATAAAGCCTGTTATAAAACTGACTTGATTCTCTTTAGTTAGGACTAATTAAAAAAGTAAAATCCTAGAATCAATTGTCATAGTGAAGTAAAACATCTCACCTGTACATTCTTATAATCTACACGTTTTCCACACAAGACGCACTTTTTAAGAGGCTCCTTATAAGGATTTTCTATTGGAACAGGCTAGGATAAAGGGAAAAGAATATGATTAAAAAGTTTAATGTGTTAATTTCGAATCTAAAAAACACTAAACCTTAAAGCTACCACATTTAAATCTATCCAAAGAATTAGTTCTGCCTTTCTTACTGTGAAAAGGAATACAACATCTTGGCTTGTAAAAGAAAAAACAAGTACTTCTGAAAAGGACTCACCATTATAAAGATTTCAGTATGCTTTTCCATATTTTGTACAAGTGTTTTATTTTGGCTTAGTTTGGTTAAGGAGGAGTTAAGTCATGGATTTTAGGATAAAATACAGTCTTTGGAGAAAAAAGGGTTTATGGGAGAAACAAAATTAAATCTACACTAAGTGATTCCCTCCTCAAATGTTTTGCCCAAGTGACTAAAAATTCTTAAGATTTAAATTAAGAAAATCTTATAGCACAACAGGTGTCATATGTAATGTCTAAATCCATCCCCATATTTCTCTCTCAGATGTTTTATCACTATTTTTGTTTTTAAAAGACAATGCCCCATAGCTTACTATAATATAAGGTCCTTTGACTAGCATTTTATGGCTCCCAGATTGCTCTTTAAGTTTGTGTCAGCCTTTGGACTTCCTTTCTTCACTAACTATATTCTTCTGTCACAATGCCTCCCTCCTACGAGTATAAGCATCTCCAGTCTAGAGATTCTTTTTTTTTTAAAAATATATTTTATTGATTTTTTACAGAGAGGAAGGGAGAGGGATAGTTAGAATCATCAATGAGAGAGAAACATCGATCAACTGCTTCCTGCACTCCCCCTACTGGGGATGTGCCCGCAACCCAGGTACATGCCCTTGACCGGAATCGAACCTGGGACCCTTCAGTCCGCAGGCCGACGCTCTATCCACTGAGCCAAACCGGCTACGGCAGTCTAGAGATTCTTAATCTACAAATGGCTTTAAAGTCCTCTAACTCCTGTAGTTGTATGTAAAATTTCAAATGAGTGGGACTGTGTGCCTTTTTCGTTTGTCTTTTGAATAGCTTTTTAAAAAAATTCTTGATTTCAGAGAGAGAGGGAGGGAGAGAGGGATAGAAACATCAATGATGGTAGAAAATCATTGATCAGCTGCTCCTGCACGACCCCTACTAGGGATGGAGCCTGCAACCTGGGCATGTGCCCTGAACCGTGATCTTCTGGTTCATAGTTCCACACTCAACCACTGACCCACACTGGCCGGGCATGTGTGCTTTTTTCGGAGAAAGCCCATAGCTTTCATTAGCGTCTAAGTGGGGTTAATAACCTAAAAAGGAGCTCTAGTAATTTCCTTCACTCTCTTGAGGTAGGTTGTGAATTGAATGACTAAGATAGATGGCTCAGGAGGACTAGAGTTTGTTTTCTCCAAGTCCTCAAATGTTCTTAAACCAATTTACATTCAGCTCACATGTAATGACTGACTATATTCCTTCCCTACACTGTACTATGTGCTTTGTATGGTCTGATTAGTGTCAGGTTATCTTTGCAAGTAGGAAGAAAACCTATACTGCCAAGTCCAACCCTAGCACTTAAAACCTATAAAAATACATATATAGGATAGAAGAAATTATATTTAATGTCCTCATATGAAACTTTAATTTTGATCTCTCATTTATTAAGACAACCCTCCTCCCCAAAAAAATTGAATGGGGCAATAAAATCGAATTTGAAATGGGGAAGAGCCAACCTGTAAGTAAGCTTTGTATATAATGCCTTTGTTGGATTATCTGCAATTATTCCATCCACCCAAACAACCTTTTTAAATTCTCAAAGCACATATCCTTAAATTTAAGATCTAGGAAGAAAAAAATGTATTATAGAAGCCATGCTTTTAAAAAATATATTTTTTTTTATTGATTTTGAGAGAGAGGAAGGGAGAAAGAGAAACAGTGATGATCAATCGGTTTCCTCCCACATGCGCCCGACCTGGGGCGAGAACCCACAACCTGGGTATGTGTCCTGCCGGGAATCGAACCCGCCACCTTTTGGTGTACAGGACGATGATCCAACCAACTAAGCCATACCAACCAGGGCAGAAGCCATGCTTCTTTCTAGAAATCTAGGAATTCTCTTGAAAACTCAAGTGACTACTCATCAATGAATTATAATTTTCAAACTCAGACTAATGATTATTGATTGTATTGTCCTCCTGTTGAACTCTATTTGAATAGCTAAAATAACTGTATAAGAATTTGGTCATATTTGCAAATGCCTTATAAAAAGGAAGAAAACAATTCTTACCAGGTCCTCATTGCTGGTTACCTGTTTATATTGTGAACAACTTCTCCACAGCACTGCAAGTAAACAGAAACAGCAACAAACCAATTCTTTGTTAGCTGAGTAGCTAAAGACATTGCATTATGGAGGCAAGATGAATCAAGAGACATAAAATCAAGGGACACCTGAATATAAAAGGCAGGTTTTCTATTCATTATACTCACACTGACTGGACAAAAACCTTTAGATTTGAGGCAGAGTAAGACTTAATATGGATGTGCCTTCCAGGGCTTTGGAAAAAGGGTATATATACCCTTTCCCCAGCCACACAATCTCTCATCTGCTCTTTTGCGATATTTATTTTCCCTTCACTCCACGGTTAGAAACAGATTTTTAATGCAAATACTCGGGGAAGAAGCAACAGAGGGAAAATGTGTAACAGACCCCTTACAGAGAATAGTTACTGATAGAGAAGCACAGAAAAGATGAAAGTACAAAAATTACAGATTCGAGGGCCTCGCTCACAATTTCGCCCTGATCTGGGACCTCAGACATCTGGAATTTGCTGCTGGATGGCTCTGGAGATGTCCCTTCCTTACAAGTCGACCCGGAGGTCTCAGGCAAGTCCCTGTCTCTTTAATAATCACCCCATTACTCTCCTCGTATGTTAAAAAAAAATGAAGTGTACTGGAAGACGCCTCACGTCCCTTTCAGCTTTAAAATACTAGTCCTGGGCCATTACAGATTCCCACCCAGGAGAAACTTCCACTGCCCGGAAAACGGCGACGTTGACCTAACAGCGGCGACTGCCCCGACCTAATCGGGGATGGGGCGGCGGCAGTGCCACCGCGGAGCAGAGGGCGGGAGACTTTACCCGCTCGGGCTCCTGGGTTTGCGCAGCGGACGGCGGCCGTCAGGAAGCAGGTAAACTTCCTCCTCCCCGGACCACTGCAAAGAGCACCCACAGAAGCCATGGTTCCTCGGTCCTCCCTTCCCTTCCTCCTCCTAAGTCGTCCGCACAAGTCCTTTCCGGTGCTCCCGGGTGAGCCCGAGGACTCGCGTCCAAGGTTCCGCGAGCCAATGCCGGGGCCGGAGACCGTGTTCATTGCGTTTGCGCAACCCCTTTACGTGCCCGCCCTCGCCGCGCCGCAAGCCCGCGGCACCTACGATTGGACGGGAGGAAGGCGGGCTGCCACGCCGGTGCCTCCACTTCCGGCCCGGGAGCAATTAATTTGTGGTCTTTCCCAAAGGTGGATGGAGAGGCGAGCGACCTCGGCCCCTGTCGCTACTGCTGCTCTGCCCTCCACTCAGCGCTGCTCTGGGGTTTGGCGGCTGGGTCACCGGGGACGTCCCTCGGGCAGGGCCCCCGGCCCCTGCCATGGATGAAGGCAGTTCCCGCATCCGCCGGCGGGTGTCTGTCCGCAAAAGGAACCGTCCCAGCCTAGAGATCCTTCTTGCCGCCCCCACCGCGGACGAGCTCAAGCCGGGCGATGACGAGAAGGCGGAGGAGGAGGAGGAGGAGGAGATGGGGGCTGGAAGCCCGCGACGGAAAACTGTGGGCGTACAACCGGTCGAGGTACAGCCCCGTCAAATTGCCCCGAGTTCCTCGTCCCATGTCCCACCTTAGGGGCCGTCATACACACCCGGGTCTCCTACTGCGCATGCCCACTGAGGGGGGGGGGCGGTCAGCTGTGGAAGGCATGGCATTTGACACTAACATTTTGACAGCGTCCTTCTCGGGTGCAAACAATGGACCAGTTATCTACTAGGCTTCGTGTGCTCACCTCAGTTTTGTTATTGTTAATTCTCACTTGTGAGGTCTTGCCTTATTATCCCCGTTTTTATATAGATGTGAAATGCAGACCCTCGACACGTAAAAGTTGTTCATGCAGCAAGTAAGTGGCTTGACTGAGACGCAAAGGCAGACTTCGAAGTTACTGCTGCTTCTGCTGTACCAATAAAACCTACCAGTTATGAAGAGCAGACGAATTATATGCTGCGTACTTTCTTAAGCTAGTTACATTCACAACAGAAATCAGGCCCCGAGAAGTTAAGAAATGGCACTTCTGGCTCAAAGTCCTGTGTTTTTAATCACGACACTATTGCTGCCTCCGAGTTTACATCTCTTCTGTTTAGTAGTAGACCCCTGTAGGTCAGTGTGCAGACTCTCCCTCTCAATTCCAAATTCCTAGGGACAATCTTGGAGTGTCCAGGAGTACAAGCATGATTTTGTTAAAGGGCAGTCTCTAGATTAGAGACTGGGAGGGGAGGGATAGTGCAGTATCAGAAGTTAGAAGTATCTAACTTCCAGTCAGATGACATCCCAGTAGATGTCTACCAGTCTTGCTACCCACCACTTGAAGGATTTAGCGTTGGCTTAACACTCCGGTGTGGGGTGAATTTCCCGCCAAAATATAAGATGGCTCTGTCTTTTGGTTTTGTTCCATCCACCAAAAGGGTGGATTACAAACAAATATTTGGTAATACGCAGTTACAATCGGCCCGAGTTTACACGTTTCCCGCACTCCACCGCAAATCTATATGAACCGAGTTAAAGACGGCTCCCGCGGAGTACGCGCAATTCACGCGAGCCGACTTAACTCGTTTCCCCCACTCCAAGTGTTAAGAATTAGGATCCCAGCATCATCATGCACCAAGAGTGCAGTTTAGGCAAGTCCCTTACCCTCTCTAGGCCTCCATTGCTCTATCTGTAAAATGGGATGATAATATCTATTTCACAGGGTGATTTACATTTAGTTCTGTGATCCGTATGTGACCATCCTCTATAACAAAAGCCCAGCAACCAAAACGGTGGAATGACCAGAGTCCAGAACGACCACGGCCCCTCACCCCGGCTGGCCACCCCCCAGTGAGCGGTTAAGGGCAATCAGGCAGGCAGGCAGAGTGGTTGGAGGCGACCAGGCAGGCAGAGGTGGTTAGGGGCGATCAGGCAGGCAGGCGAGTGGTTAGGGGCCAGCAGTCCCAGATTGCGAGAGAGTGTAGGCCAGGCTGAGGGGACCCCCCCCTTCCGTGCACAAATTTCGTGCACCGGACCTCTAGTTTAATTATATACTTGGTATAGCCCTAGGCCGGAACTTTTATTCTTGCTAAAGCTAGAATTGACCATAAATATTTTTGTTTTCTTTCCAGAATAATGAAAGTGAAGAGGACATGTTTGGTGACTATGATAGCTTTGCTGAAAATTCTCTTATAGCTCAAGTTGATGACCTGGAACAAAAATATATGCAACTTCCTGAAAATAAGAAGCATGATACAGACCTTGCCACTGAAGATCTTTGTTCAGAAGACATCAGACATAACCAACTCAGCATTACTACTATAGGCAGCTTTACTGAATTAAAAACAGATGAGCACACAAAAAATCAGAGCGGGCATGAAGATATCTCTATTGAACCTGGAGCTGATCTTTTGTATGAATTGCCTTCTTCACAGGTTTTATACTTTGAAAATTTGCAGAACTCTTCAAATGAATTGGGCAATCAGTCTACTAAAGAGAGGGATTGGAACTCATCCTCTCACAAGACTGTGAGTGAGGAATTGCCCCAAAATAGCATAGAGCAACCCCAACAAAATGATGAATTCTCTTCTAAAGTCAGAACTAGTTCAGATGTGAATAGGAGAAAAAGTCTTAAAGATCATCTAAAAAGTGCCATGACTGTCAATGCAAAGGCCCAAATGCCAATATTTTCTAGGACTAAACAGCTCAAGGAGACTCACCTGTCCGAAGAAATTAATGTTGCTAAGAAAGCAATTGAGTCATCATCAGATGATGTTGGTCCCTTTTATTCATTACCCAGCAAAGTGAGAGACCTTTATGTTCAGTTCAAAGGAATTGAAAAATTATATGGTAATGCATTTTGCTGGAATGAAAAAAATTTTGCCACCATTACCATAGTATTAGTGCAAGTCAATAGAAAGGAGATCCTTCCATGGTCATATAGTGCATCTTAAAAACAAATCAAAGTATCAATCCTCTCTCAACCTATCCCAGTTGTGCTACTGCTGAACCTCTTTCCTTGTGGTCACACTTCTCAAACGTATTATCCTTGCTGTCTCCCTTTCCTCACCTCAAATAATTCCCAACCCACTCCAACTCTGGGTTCTGTGTGCTCACTTAAGATATAATGACTAGGTTGTCTAAACCCAATAATACCTTTAGTTCTTAGCTTTCCTGACTTGTAAGTAGCTTGCCTGACACAATTGACCAGATCCTTTTTGAAACACTTGATTTCTTGACATTCCACTCATGTTTTGTTTTGTTTTTCTAACTGTCTAGCTGCTCCTCATTTTTCTTAACTGGTTCTCTTGGCTGGCTCTGTCTTCTCTACCAAAACTTGTTGAATTCCTTTGACTAGTGAGATGTCTTGAGTGAAAGTTAGTAGTAGTAATACGACTGATTAAAACTAAACATCTTTAAAGATGGCTGAAAAGACTTAAGTGCAAAGAATATTAATAATGTCTCATAATGTTTTTTAAAAATCCTGGATTCTTGCCTATATTTTAAATATGTGTTATTTTAGACAAAGAAGGTACAATTGCTGCCATTCTGGAAGATTAGCCTATCAACCAATCACTGCATAAGTATTTCTGAATCTCCTATGTTAGTGCCTTAAGAACCATATGAAAACATGGTTTCTCTTCTCAGGGAGAAGACAATTAGGTTCAAGAAGTAGGACTACAGGAAAAAAAGTCTAATATAAGACTATAAGAGTCTAATAAATCCTAAATTGTGAGATTTGTACTTAAGAGCTAATGGTGTGTATTGCTCACAAAGGATATATTAACTTCCCTTTGCTTTTCTCCTAGCACCTTGTCCTTTGTTTAATCTGCATTTCCTACCAGCATGAGTACCCTGAGGACAGGGCTCTATCTAATTCACCTTTTTCTTATATAACTAGCACTATACCTGGTACATTCTGGTAGGTTCTCAACTGCTGGGGGTTGTCAGCCTATTTATTCTGGCCCTGTCACTATAAACCTCAACTTTATACTGAGCCTTAGTGTCTGATCTATTAAAAAGGGATGATGATGATAATAAAAGTAATTGTTTTGCAGGTTACATTCTGTGTGAAGGACATGCCAAATTAGACTTTGATAATGATTATCAGTAATTATATTAGTAGCTTTAAAGTATGAACTTTAGTAAATAACTTTTTAAATCTTTTTACTTGTAAATTTAGCTTAATGAAATGACCAATTTAAAAAATAATTATGTGTGCTAAAGCAGTGATTCTCAAAGTGGAGTTCTTAGACCCCAGCATCAGCATTACCTATAAACTTGAAATGTGTATTCAGGACCCAGCCCGACCTCCTGAATCAGAACTTCTGGGGGCAAGTCTGACAGTCTGCTTTAATAAGCCCTCCTGGGTATTCTGATGTGCCTAAAGTTTGAGAACCACTGAGCTAGAGAACCTCAACCTTATACAGGGGCTAGCAAAAATAGGTTTACAGTTGCAATACAAATCCTATATAATAAAAGGCAAATCGACCGAATGGTGGAACGACAGGTCGCTATGATGTGCACTGACCACCAGGGGGCAGAGAGTCAATTCAGGAGCTGACCCACAGGGGGAGCGCCACTTAGCCAGAAATTGGGCTCACAGCTGGCTAGCGCAGAGGCAGTGGTGTGAGCCTCTCCTGCCTCCGTGGCAGCACTAAGGATGTTGGACATCCCCTGAGGGCTCCCGGACTATGAGAGGGTGCAGGCCAGGCTGAGGGATCCCCCCAAGTGCACTATTTTTGTGCACCAGGCCTCTAGTAATACAATCTATACTAATAAAAGGGTAATACGCTAATTAGACTGGACATCTGGATGTCCTTCCTGACAAAGCCATGGTGGCAGGGGCCAAGGCAGAGGCGTTTAGGGGCAATCAGTCTGGCAGGGGAGAGCAGTTAGGGGCAATCAGGCCAGCAGGCAGGTGAGCAGTTAGAAGCCAGCGGTCCCAGATTGCGAGAGGAATGTCCGACCACTGGCAGTCGGACATCCCCCGAGGGCTCCTGGATTGGAAAGGGTTTAGGCCGGGCTGAGGGACCTTCCCTCCCCCATGCATGAATTTCGTGCACTGGGCCTCTAGTAATTTATAAATGATAATGC